TTGGTCAATCACATGATTTCATATGAATACCACATGATTACTATTAAAAATGATCTAGGGACACCCTACCCTTAATTCAGGAATAATTTTATAACGACGTAAATTTCTTTGATTAACTCCTCCTGCATGAATAAATTTTGGATTAAAAATTTGACAAGTATTAAAAAGTGGTCTTGCGGGATGTAAAGGAATATATGCTACAAATTTTAAATATGCTTTGGCGAAAGCATTTTGAAATATTGGATAAAATTCTAATGGTTTAAATCCATTTCTAATAATAACTTCATCTATTCGTGAACTAAAATATGTAGCTTTAACGTTTGATTCGATGTAATTAGTAAGTTGTTGAAGTCTATTTTCAACGTAAGGAAATATAGACTTTTCTTGCTGAAAAAAATTCAAGGTAGAAATAAATTCTACAGAAAAAATACTTATAAAATCAATATAAATTGTAATTAGACCTAGTTGATACGGATCAGAAAAAAAAGAATAAATAATTTTTAATGCTTCAGTTTCGTCCAATTCAATTTCATTTTGAAAAAATTCCTGCCAATAAGGAAGATACTCTTTCATATACAAAACCATATAAAACCAAGAATTCTATCTGGTTTTAGTAAGAAATGGTATTTTTTTTTAAATTTGTTACACCACAAAAATGCAGATGATCGATATACCGACGATGACGTGCTGGACTTTGAGTAAACACTTCTTTGACTTTAGCTAATAATGTTTTAACAGATGAAAATAAATCAAATATACGCCATGTATCTCTAACAAATATAATAATATATTATATATATATATTAATAAATTAATTTAACAATAATAGTTAATTTATTTTAATAATAACTACCCAATTAAATTTAAAATATGGGCGCAGCAAGGAACATGTACCAATTGTGGCATAATTGGATGCAATCTTTCACGATAGCATTTTTTCATATATGATGCGGAATCAGTTAAAAAAAGTCGAGGTAATGTAATTGAAGTATTATAATTCGAAAGAATTTTAATAATATTTTGTCCAATTGTTAAATTGTTGACAGTTGTAAAAAAATCTACCGAAACTAATTTGGTATTTTTGCGATACAAAAAAAGTGTATTAACTACACTGCGTTGACAATCATCCGTGGTCTCATCCATAGTAATTGAAACTGGTTTTGATCAAATAAAGCTTTAAGAGAATCTAAATGTGCAGAAAAAACTTGAGGCACATATAATTGACGTAATGTCGCCGCTTGTGGAATAGCACCTTCCTCTTTACAATGCTTTTTAAAAAAAGGAAGTAATAAATTAACTTTTTCTAACGGGACATCTGCGATTGCAAATGCTTCAACTAAATCAAGTATGATTTCTTTTTTTGAATCAGAATGAAAAAGAAGCACTTGTTGAAGTTTGCGACTTTGCTTAGTTTTATTTAAAGATTTATTAGAAGTATGCGTTTTACTTTTAAGATGGTCATCAACAGTAGACTTTCGTGCCCAATCTATTGAATGATCACAAAAGTTGCAAAATAAAAGTCCATCCACAACACGAAATTTACCCAGATTTTCTTGAACTCTTGTATAAGGCGTAACACTTGTTTTAGATCGACCACTTCTCTTCATAATAATAAAAAAAAAAATAAACTTTTTTTTTTAAAAAAAAAAGAAGAATTTGCTGAATAATAATAATATAGAGAAAAAAAAAGGTACTATGATATTGCTTTTTCTCTCCCTTTTTATTTCATTAATTCTTGTATTCTTAACACCAACTCATTTTGATAACAATTGTATGCAGAAAATCAACTGCTATTTTTATTTTTTTTTTGTTATGTAAAGGATAGTAATAATGTTCAAAAATTTTTTTAATAAGAAAAAATTCACATCAATACCGTTATTACCTGTTTATGCCTTGCTTTCTGTTCATAGAATGTTATTCTATGATTTGTTGGTATAAATAATTGCCTGAATAACTTACTTATATATTCTTTAAGAATACAACATCTTGTTAACAAAAACTGAAAAGTGTCTTTAAACAAGATAGAATAATCGTTATTAATTATACGTTCGTTATTATTAATTATACGTATTGATTCATTCCTTGATCTGTTATCATGTGCTAATCGATATAAATTAGCCAATTATATGAATATTCTTCCATGAAAAGTGAATTCTGCGGGAATTCTGTGTTACTTGGGGCACTTTCTGTAAGTGTAACCTAAATTCTGTGATTCTGCGGCATTCCATGAAATGCAGAAAATCATCGTCCCTATTACAGATTTTGGCATATCTAAATCATCAGAAAATAACTCCAAATCTATTTCTGGCAGAACCTGTGTTTTTCTGATCTAAAATATCTCAAAGATTCTTCACATAAACGGGATAAAGCTTCTAATATTATAGTCTCAATGTACTTTTCTGGGAGCTATCAAGTGGTTTATTGTTACGACAAGGGGAGGGTCTTTCTTATACTGTTGCCAATTTAGCTTAGGGTCATAAGCATTAAAAGAAATAAACTATATATTATTGTGTGTACTCAAGCCACTAAAAGTAACCAAGACCTTTAATTGATCAACCAACTTCCTCTTATTTCTATTAAATCCAAGAAGTACCCCAGAGTACTATTCCAAAATCCTCTAAAACCTAACAATCCAAAAGTCCTCTAAAATCTTTCTGATCCTATTTACAAGAATATCGCTCTATATATATATTTGAATTAGACTCAAATTGACTATCCTGCAAGATGCAAATTAATGGAAAACGAGAAACACCTATTAAAGGAACACCGATCGAATTTATTATTATTTATTGCAAAGCTTGGAATAACAATCCAGATTTACGTCCTAGTATAGTTGAAATCCGTGATAAATTATAGTTGCATGTGAATGTTCCCAGTGGTTCTGGCTCGTCAGAGTAAACAAGATACTAGCATAGCGACAGATATTTTCGAGTTATAATCATGAGAATTTTATTTCGCCCAATAATGTAGCAAGTAGTAATGATTATATTCATTCAATAGAACAATGATTTAATCAATTGCAACAATGATTTAATCAATTACAAGCCGACCATTCAAATTCGATTTCTGAAAATCATACTACGATAAATAAATGTGAGAAGACATTATTGGGTTTGAAGATGCATTAAGTTATCGTGGTGTAATTTATGATATAATGAGCAGGTACGAAGAATCACTGGCAAATCTAAATAAATCATTAAGAATTGATCCAAATAGTGCATTTGCATTGGTAATCCTGGAGAAATTTATCGCATAATGAATAGATATGAGGAATCACTAGCAGATTTAAATAAGTCTTTAGAATTGATCCAGTTAATACATCGGTGTTAGCAATTCGCGGAATAACTTATCATATAATGAGCAGACATGAAGAATCATTAGCAGATTTAAATAAAACATTAGAAATTGATCTAAATTATGTATTTGTAGTAGAGCAACGTGGTATAACTTATCGCATGATGAATAGGTATAAAGAATCACTAGCAAATTTAAATAAATCATTAGAAATTGATCTAAACGATGCTATCTGCATTGAGACAACGTGGATAAACTTATCGCATGATGATTAGATACAAGGAATCACTAGTGGATTTAAATAAATCTTAGAAATTGGTCTAAATAATGCATCTGCTTTAGAAAACCGTGGTGCAACTTATAGCATGACGAGCAGATATGAAGAATCACTAGCAGATTTAAATAAATCATTAATAATTAATAATTAATCCAAATAGTACATTTGTATTAAGTCAGCGTGAAGCAACTCAACGCATAATGAACAGATACAAAGAATTATTAACAAATTTAATAATCATTAGAAATTGATCCAAATAATGCATTTGCATTAGAACAACGTGAAAAAATTTATCGCATGATGAAAAAATACAAAGAATCACTACAGATTTAAAGTTTAAACGCGCCTTAAACTTTAAACTTAAAAAGACGAGCACAAACACGTTCTCATCAATTCAGCTATATGAAAAAAAAAAAAAAAAAAAAACATAAGACAGTTGCACGCCTAATATAAATAATCAACCTGACAAATCATACCTTTAGACTCCAAAATAGTAGATCATTGCTTTGCCGGTGACATGACAGATAAATACCACAAGATGTATAGTTACCATCCATCAGCCACGACAAAGAATATTCGAAAGATCGATCTGACAGATATAGTATATATAGAAAATAAGGCTAAAAGTTTAAGTGTGTTGTAAAAATATTATTAATAAAGAATGATGCAAAAACTTTTAAATTGACTATTTAAGGTTTTGACTATTCCAGTTTAGCATTTTAAATTGTCAAAAGTTTGATCATTCAGAGGATTTGACTTGTCGGTATTTTGACCTGTCAGGATTCTGACTTGTTGGGATTCTAACTTGTTAGGATTTGACTTGTCAGAATTCTGACTTGTCAGGATTTGACTTGTTAAAATTTTGACTATCTGGATTTTGACTGTTGGGATCTTAACTATTCGGGATCTTAATTTTGAATATCAGGATTCTATACTGTCGGGATTCTGTCATAGTCAGCATCTTGACATGTCAGTATTCTATCTTAATCGGAAAACTCCTAAGTAGTTGGATTGGTATTATTAGCACCTTTATAACGTAATATTCTGATAGCATTCTAATTAATGAAAGAATTCCAATTTATAGTTGACGCATTTACGTTGAATTGACATTGTTCATACAAGCATATAATTATTAAAGACATTAGATGTTGCGCAACTCAAGATGGTTATATAACTTAAATAATAACCATTAGAACTGTTATATGCCTATTCCCAAAACTGTTAGTTAAAACTGTTATTGCATTACTTATATAATTTAAGTAATTACATAACTATTAGAACTATTAGTATTATATTATTTGGGCTATTAGATAATAATCACATAACCGTTAGAATTATTGGACTATTATGTGATTTAAGTAATCATATGACTGTTAAAACCGTCAATAATTTAAGAATTACTTACTTAACCTTTGAACCATTAGCATTATATTACTTGAGGCTATTAGATAATTTAAATAATTACATAACCGTTAAAATTATTAGACTGTTATGTGATTTAAGTAATCATATAACTGTTAAAACTGTCAATAATTTAAGTTATTACTTACTTAACCGTTAGAACTATTAGCATTATATTACTTGGAGGCCATTAGGTAATTTAAATAATTATATAACCGTTAGAATTATTAGACCATTATGTGATTTAAGTAATCACATAACTGTTAAAACTATCAATAATTTAAGTAATTACTTACTTAACCGTTAGAACCGTTAGCATTATATTACTTGGGGGCCATTAGGTAATTTAAATAATCACATAACCGTTAGAATTATTGGACCGTTATGTGATTTAAGTAATTACATAACTGTTAAAACCGTTAAAACCGTTATTTACTATTATTAAAGCCGTTATAAACTTTAATAATTATTGTTAAGGGGTACATATTTTATGCACCCTTGTATAACCCTGCATATTCGCGCATATTCGCGCATATTCGCGCATATTCGCGCATATTCGCGCATATTCGCGCATATTCACGCATATTCACGCATATTCACGCATATTCACGCATATTCACGCATATTCACGCATATTCACGCATATTTACGCATATTTGCGCATATTCGTGCATATTCATATATAATTATGCAAGAGGTACATAACATATGCAAGGGGTGCATAAAATATGCAATACTTACATATGTAAAATAACTGACACATAGAAGTTAAGAGCAGTTAATTTACTGTCTCTATAGATATCAAATGACTGACTATTAGGGAACTGGTGAAAGTCAATTAACTATTCCTGTGTATATCAAATGACTGACCCTTGGTAGTCAATTGACAATTCCCAGGGGGTTATAATGACCTCTTATCTGTTACCCCCCTTACTTTTATCAAATTCAACTATGACATCATCCTACACATACAACAAAACAACTGTAAGAAAAAACAACAATCACGTGTCTATATCCGGTTATAATAACAACAACTCGATATAACAAAACAACAACAGCTCTCAACAACCCATAATAGGAAATACAACATGCCTACAACCTATCGGCAACCCATGAAATACAGCAGAAATCTAATTAGATAATCTATTAACTACCAATACCTTTAGAGCACATACTGCACCTTCTCCAATAACTGCACAGCCTCTCTATAGTCAAGTAGTACAACCCAAACAAAACCAACAAGAACCTGACAAAGCCACACTCTGGTCACAAGCTATACTAAAAATTCTACAACAAGCAACCGATACCCCATTCAGTTATGAAATCTGGAATAATAACAAGATTTTAGAAGCACTTAAAAGTCTACAAGGCATAACCCAATATGCCCAATACAAAGTATCTGTCTTACTTACTGATCACACAATTCCTCCAGCTATAGAACTCAAATTCAAATACTGAGACACAGCCTTTTTCCGCACTTTCACCAAATCAACCAAAACAAAACCAACACACCAAATAGAATACAAAAATCTTTTCACAAAAGCACTCAAAAATATAAAGAAATGCATAACATACCCATTACTACTAAAGAAAACAGAGATCAAATCTATACAAAACTTAGACAA